TGTCCCTTGTGTCCAAGAAATGGTCACGATGTTTGATAGCCAATCGAAGACCATCTTTCCCAAGGCAGCCATACCAAACTTGCATGTTGGCGACCTCGAAGGGATCCGCGGCAGTCGAGAGTTTCGGTACCCGTCACATGGGCATTCCACAACTGGGCAATATCCTTGTCAAGTTGCATACGCATCGCTGATCCGTAGGGCCTCCGAGTTCACGTTCTTGAGGTTTCCGAGCTCGACCTTTGATGCTGCCCATTCCTCCCTAAACTCCTCCTCGACTGAAATCTGATGGCCACTCCGGTGCGTCACCCTCATGGAAGTCGTCCACAAGGTCATCAACCCTGGCTTCCGAGGAAGTCGACCTTCCCCTCTACCCTTTCCAAGCCTTCCTGGAAGTTGTCCATCTTGTCACAAAGTTGTTGCAACAAGTACACAACCTCATCGGAACCTGCTGGACCCCGACCCTTCACCCTGACTGAATACGCACTTGCTCTTCTTCAGCTTACATCGCTCACAAGTGCGCCCACAGCAGATAAAACACTTCACATCGTCTGCCTTACAACGACCACAACGCTCTACGGAACAAGTCAGCATGAGCCATGGGTCCCTATGGAAGTCACTTACCGTTACCCTTATATTCTTCGTCGTCCGCCTGCATCTCAGGCTCAGTCTTCAATTTCTTCAAAGGCCTTCCTGATGGCCTCACGACTTCCTCTTCCCCACTAACCACCACTGCACTAGACTTGATCTTATGCTTCCTCGAAACGTCCACAGCCTCCGAATCGGTCGCCTTGCCCTTACCCTTCCTATCCTTCCTCTGCTTTACCAATTTTTTCAACGCCTTCCCCTTTGGGTCCTTCTCCCACTCATCATCTCCATCGGACCCACTACCAACCTTGCTCCCCTCATTCCCATCTACCTTCCCCTTCTCCTTCTCGGCCTCCGCGGCCTTGCTAGCTTCCACCAAAGCCTTCGCCTTGGCCTCACCTTCTAACTTCTTCTTCTCTGCGGCTCTCCTTTCCTCCAAGGCCCTTGCCTCCTCTTCCAACCTCCGCTGCTCCGTGCCGACCACCTCCGCCTTTGCCTTAGCCTCTGCCTCCTCTTGCCGTTTCTTCTCTGCGGCCTCCCGCTCCTCCCTCTCCTTCCTTGCTTTGGCCTCCGCAACCTTCCTTTCCTGTGCCAACTTTTTCTCTCGCCGTTCTAACTCCAGAGCCCGCCTCTTTTCCTCCTTTTGCTTCTGCACCTTCCAAGCCTCATGGGCCTCCGCGGCATCCTCCCTAGCCTTCTCTGCGGCATCCCGCTCATCATAAAAGGCTTCCAGGTCTTCAGGCCGAATATCTTCGGGCATTGGGGCAGGTTCGTACGGTTCAGGTGTCATGGAAGCGCGGTATTCAATGGTGGACGACATGGCCAACGACGAGGACAAAACTCAGAAAATGGAAGAGATGGTGGTGGTAGAAAGCTAAGAGGTGAAAAGCCACATGACCAACCTGAAAAAATTCCACACGGTCACACTCGGCCATTGGGATCTGCGTCCTTGAGGGCAAGAATGCTAAGGGGGGGATACTGTAACGAGCATGCCGACGGAAACCCGACTTCCACTCAACCCAACAAACCACAGCCCGGAATCCTACGGATCCCAATTCCCAGTTTCTATTTCATATTCCATTTCATATTCCATTTTATATTTCACTTCTCCATTACAATTTATCAATAGCCCAACATCGGTAGCGAACATGTCATCAGACCCCATCGGCTACCGACTGGTAGAATACATCCTCCAACAACCCTAGAATGTAGACCACTCCGAGTAGGAACTAGATCAGACTCCTAACTAGTATATAAGCCTTAGAATTACACTGTAGATACTCAGTTCGAATATCAACTTGGTTCAGCCCAATCTCTCTCTCTCTGACTCAAAGTCTAACTCTCGTTCTCCAGTCCGTGGAACTCCGATCCGTTGGACTTATCTCTTACCTCGTCTCTGCCACTCCGCGGACTTCCATCTGTATCCATCTTAGGGCTTCGGCTCAGGGGTGACGTTGCTAATAGCTTTGCCTACGCCCGACGCATCCCGCAGCATTCCACTATGTACACTTACTGCTGCAATCCTATTGGCACGATCCTAACATGGTCGCTGAGTGCATTGCATGCCAGATATGCAGCAGCAAATACACTTCTGGCCATTTTGAAGCCAAGGTGCAAGTCCGAAGTCTAGACCTATTGCCTGTTTTGATCTCGATGATAGAATTTGAAATTGAGTCATCAAGCTGGATGGCCTGCTTAGTCATAAATCTCATCGAGCGACAGGGGTTACCTATATGACTAACTTGGTATGCAAATGAGGCTACTTTTTGGGGAGGATGCTGTGAATCCAATATAATCCTAGTATAAAGACCAACACAAAACCTGCGGCATTTTGATTGGTCTCTATATGCTAAATCCCCCTCTGCAAAGCACAGATTGTATTTCCCACACAAATACAACATTGACATGTCAGTTCTGTAATAGTTGTGGTCTCTGCCATCGATAGTCCTGGCATTTCCTAGCATCTGAGTGCAATACATTGGGAGAGTGGTAGGAAACTGCAGCACAGGCAGTATGTGGGAGCGAATAGAGGGGAGGGAAGCGAGTAGCCTTATCGATGTCAGGACAGTTGGCAATCTTTCGAGCCCTTGAAGGTTGACTATCATTACGCAAAAAAGGACAGCTGAAGGTGTGACCAAATCTAATGGAGTGAGCTTTGCTGCTTGCTTGTGCTACTTGTTATATACAAATTATCGCCTTCCTCCTGTAAAGTGCACGATGTCACTTCTTACACAAGGATGACGATGAAAAAGTGCTAGATGTCTGAGTCATCTTCACGTCGTAATATCATATTGCAGAAATAACACAAGGAATTAACCAAATTATGAAAAGAGAAGAGCAACATTTTCAATGTATTGAAAATACAACAGACCAGTAAACAAAGCTCATAAAACTGTATTCGATCCAAAACTGTATGTGAAGACACAGAAGCCAATATAACAGAGCTGAAACTTTAGTTTTCCCCGGCATACCAAATGCTAATGCTGAGGTAGACTCTACCTTCGGTGGCAGTGATGATATGGTGAACATCCAAGTCTTCTAAGTCCATGAAGTCTTCGGTTGTTTCAATGACCATGATTGCCCATGGACGCGGGGCATGATGCTCCTCACGTATGGGAGTGGGCTCTTCATCCTCCACACTGATAGCAATATCAAGCTCCGAATGCAGGGGTGAAAAAATTACTCACTGGGAGGTCTGTGCTTCTGCGGTGGGACTCGGGTTCTCAATACCACCTTCCCTAGGGCTTGGAGCCTTTATGCCTGGATCGTCTTGCTGCAATGGGGAAGCGTTAGCAGAGGACTTTGACGCCAAGTTGGGACTGTCACCAACGATATCAGACAGCATCTTGATGGGGAAAATAAGACTGGTGTCGCACCAGATGGAGGCTTTTATTTCACTGGAGGCAATGGCCGAAATGATCGGCATGCAGGCATGTATTTTGGATCAATTAGATAGAAGACGGCAATGACGTTGAGAGTCGGATTAGCTTGTCATGGGGTGATATCTGCTTAAAAAAGACTTCAGGATTATGGTGGCCATTGATCGATAGTAATAGGGCGAGCCTGAGTCTGTATTGGCTCAGACTCATTCTAGGCTCAAGCCCATATAGGAGCCAGCTAAAACTGGGCTTGAGTTGCTTTAGCTGGATGACGATGCCTGATTTGGGCAGGGTGTTTTCTTCACTTTTATTCTCACCTAGGACGCATAAAATCATGCCCTGTGGTGCATACTATAAGATTCCAATATGGATGAAGGCAACTACACATCGAAAATGCTGATTAATACCATAAAATGGAGAACTGAGGTTTGAGATGACAAGATCCAGCCATCTTCAATCCCCACAGTGCTCTTGTGACATCCACACTGAATGGACAAATTATTGTGTCAGACTAATGTCTCTCTTATAAACACTGAATGGTCTCTCTGCCCAATGCTTCCTTGTCAATGGTAGCGGCGAAGTCACTACTGACCGGTGTTGGAAGGAAGGAGATGTGGATAGTCACCATGTGAGACACATCGGGAGAATTCAGATGCTTCAAAGGCAGGGAAATCATCACACAACCTTAAAGAAATAAGTGGAATGGAGAGCACGCGTCATAATTAGTGTAGTCCAATGTCTGGACTCAATCTCCTTTTTTGGTCTCGATGAAGGAATTTGAAAAATGGTCATCGAGCTGGATGGCCTGCTTAGTCAGAAATACCATTGAGTGACAGGGGTTCCAGGTACATAAATCCCCCCCATTCTGCATTCCTTTTTCCATATCACATCTGCTACTGTGCGTCCTCACACCCCAAGGTCATACTGCACCAGATCCTGCCATTCGGCACTAGTGATCACTTGTTTTGATGATTATGGTTGGCCATGAATGCAGCACTCATCTCGTTGGTGGGAATACTTCATTCTCCACACTGAGGGAAATATCAAGGTCAGAACTGGTGTATAAAAATTACTGACTTGGAGTGAATGCTCTCTGCCGCATCTGCCATCCGGAAAGGGTACATAGGATTGGAATTTCTATTCCATGGGGATTGAAGCCTCTGCACCTGCCTTGTTTTCCTGCAATGGGGCAGCCCCAGCAAAGGATGTTGACCCAGGGTTAAGGCTATCACCAATGATATCAGAGGGAGAGCTGATGTCACACCTGACGAGAGCTTTTATAAGGCTTGAAGTTCAGATAGGATCAGACACATGAGTGTGATGGGAATAAGGACATTTGGAAGCTTCTGATAAACTTGTCATCAGTACATATCCTTGAAAAAAGGACTTCAGGGTCTAATATAACAATTGTTCATGGAATATGCAATAGCGCACTTGAATACAGAGAGCAAATTTTTCACAGTAGGCCACATCGAAAATCGTAACCGCTGATAACATATTTGGGAAGTTTATACGGGAAAGTACATTTATGATGAATCAGTCCAGAGATTGCATGACTTCAGCAACTCTTTCTTTCACCACCATCACTGCCCATTCATCTACAGTTGCATCTATATGATTCGGGTTAAATGATGAATGCTGTCTGGGAAATCACATACCAAGTGGACGGGCCCTTGGCCAGATGAAGAAAGTGGGCCTAAGATGGAATGGTCTATCGACACTCATATTTACAGTCTCCCAATGTTCCAGTACAAGTGAAAAAGAAGTCCAGTGTCCTCTCCACTGACTGTTTGAAGGCTTTCAAGTACACCTTCCACCAACCCTGTGCTTTCCTTGCAGATAGTATCAAAGACCATGCAAAATAAATGGCAGAAGTCTTTGCAAAATCAGCAATGCGAGGTGAGACCAGAGAATCTAAAGGTTTGGTGAATGCATCATGGGCAAGTGGTGTGTCGGGAAAGAGAATCAGAGAGTACTGCTCCTGAAGACAATATATTATGTCAAAATATGCCCGTCTCCCCTCGCTGAGTGGCCAATATGCATCTGGTTTACGAGCATCAAAAATAGTGACAATGTCTAAGGCAGGAAGAGAGAGGAGCAAGTTGCTGAGTGCAACTATGTCAAGAAGCCCTTCAGCTGTATTGACCTTGAATTTGGACAAATCATTTTCTATGCCTGAAACCATCCTGATGAGGCATCGGAGAAAACAATTAGTTGATTGGCTTACTATCAGTGTTCAGCCCATCTTCAAGGTACAAAATCAGTTGAAAGAGGAGATCCCTCAGTTGGAAGTACAGAACTCTCTCGATTTTGACCCCATGTATATAAGTATCAACCCGACCCGAAACAGTTTTTGACAAAGTTGTAGTAGTGTAAAAATGTTGTCCTCTGACAATGGAATTTTCGAGTGTCACTACTGCGTGAAGAGTGCCTGGTTGAATGAAATTATTCTTGTTATCAGCGGTAATCACATCATATCATTGAAAGGACATACAGGACATTACTGGGCTCAAGGACAACAACTTCTGCTTTCCATTGCTTTGGGTCATTAACGAAGTCAGAATCCCAGTCATGGTACGCATGTATCAACTTGTCATGCTTTTTAACGCGACACTGAAAGAGGTACCAAAGCTGGCGGCCACAATGAACTTGGATAACTGTACAAACCCCAAGACAATAGGGCTTGATGCGGTCAATAGTACTTTTCGTTGCCACATACCAGAAGTGGGTGGTGGATGCAGGATACCCCTCCGTCCGAAAGATGCGCTCTGTGTTAACAGACGTCTGTTTGAAAACTCCCATGTCGCTGGAAAAAATTCTACGAATAAGTCAGTTTTGAAACAAGAGTTCATTTTTGCTCCTTACAGTTGTAAGGGATGCAAATCCTGGGTGTGGCAGGGCAGATGAAGCGCACTCAAAATAAGACCTTCGTTTTCCTGGCTTTCTTCATGCAGTTCACGTAAAGACAGACGCATGTCACGGCCCTGTGAAAGGTACTAACTATGCTAAGGAAGGCGAAGTGCTACACACACACACACACCCTAACACACTCAATAATTGCGGTTTGAAGGGGTAAGTTACACTGGGTCGATACTTGTACTGTTATACTAGTTTCGGGTGGACAATGAATATAATTTGTTTGATTGCAATATTCTGAAACAACACAAATCTGAACTTTCTGTGTTACCGAACACAATCTGATACCAACGGGCTGCCTGGTACAGTTTCCTGAATGCGTACTAACTGCCTGGTGCAGTGTCTGAACTGATACTGTCTGCCTGGTTGCAGTTTTACTGGTACTAACATGGATTCTGGACTGTACTTCTGACTGTCTGTCTGTATCTTTCTGAACTGACTGCTTTCTGAACGGTTCTTGCACACAAAACGTGACCAGATCACTAAATACTATTCCAGGTGAGTCTAGGACTCGAAGCTCTTAACCAAAACCCATACTAATTTGCTTGGTAGCGTTCCGGGGGCCAGAAACCTGCCTTCCTGCTAGTTACATGGATAGTATTTATACTATTCTACCCTATCTATATTTCCAATCTTTCCAGGTACTATTACTGCGCTTGCTGATGGAGCCGGGTGGATATGAGCTCACTTCCTGACAGATATGAGCTCATATCCCGGCTCCCAGGTGAACCCGATCATGATCTTGTGCCGCAACCTGGTGTCCTGGCTCATGATACTAAGTTTTACCTGTACCGGGGCAGAGCCCCTGGTGTTATGGTTCTTGTTTCTCATCTACCCGGCAAGCCAACCGTTCGCCTGAGAGACTAGGGAAGCTGCCAGGTAAGTAAAGCCGTACGCGATCGTCCTTTATTTTGTTATTCTTACTTTCGGACCGATGCCATCAGGTGGCCATCAGTGCCGTGATGCCGGGTCAGCTGGTACCATGTGTGTCGACCCGCCTGGACCTTTGGTTACTCGGGCTGAGTCATCGGATCACCGGCTCGTCACCCGAAGCATAGATATTGTATGGCTAAGTCCCAATGGTTTACTACGCTGGTTACTTCCCGGTTTATTGTCTTTTCTTACTAGTATAGGTAGAGATACAACTTGTAATGTTGTAAAATTGAATTTTACATGCCTTTTTCAAGTGTGTACACCCTGTAGGCGTATCATCTCCCCTCAACTAAAAGTCGACTGTCCCAGTCGTCACCGTGCAGGTCGCTTATTTGCGTTGCTAGGGTCGTGTATGTTTTCGGAGAGGTGATTACCATTCTTGGAGTCTTTTCCCACTGGCATATGCTCGGCATGTGTCATAGAATTCGATTCTGGCCACTCAGTTATTTTTAGTAACTGGGCGTGTGCTCACCCTGCTTCTCGTTCACAGGTACGCGTTCCCTTTCTAAAAATTTTTCGTACTCTGGGTACGATACCTTACTTGCTTCCTTACTCTCACTACACGTTGAGCCTCCTGCTCCGCGTTCTTTCTCGTTATTCTTACCATGCCTCCGCTCGACCGTTTCTCCATGCTTCATTCGGCCGTCGACAAGTCACCCGCCATCTGGGATTCCGCGCAAGCAGACCGCATTGGCTGTGACGAACTTGTCAGTCAAATCAATGAGGCCCATGTTTTTCTGGTACGTTGACTGGTAGAAGTTTTGCCTTTATTTGGGTACATGACTGGTCTTAACAGACGGCTTACTGTGCCAGTTACCCACCACCGTATCCGAACATCGTAGACAGTCTTCTCGTGACGGCTTCTGCCACCGTACAAGATCTTCCGCCTCGTTTGCAGAATCCTCTCTGGTGTGCATGGCAGCTTTCTCCAGAAGTCACAGAGACAGTATTATTGGTAAGATATTCAGCTGCGGAGCTCGGCTCCGTTCTTTAACTTTTTCCTTCAGGCCGGACCTTTTACCCTCACCGAAGTGCCTTTGCTAGTTGAGTTACCACCTCCCCCGCCACGGACTTCGCCTAGAAAGCACAAAGGTGGTCCAAGCCCACCTGTTGCGGATCGGATGAAATTCGGCCTGCCGTGCGACTTATCCAAGGACGTGCCCAAACGTTCCAAGCGAGACACACCTGTCGTTCAACTGAAAGCGACACCCATCAAGACTGAGCCAGTCTCCGAGGCTCCTTCCAGTGTAGAGCCACCTTCTACTAAGTCTACTAAGACCCATGCCGTTTCTGTTAAATCCGACAAGACGGAGGCCAAAACCTGTGGCCGGCATGGCCGAGAAGTGGTGGAGACGCCTCTTCCTCCTTCGGCGCGTCAACCTATGCCTACCATTGCCGTTATTGCTGAGGATACCCATGTGGATCCTTGAGGCCGTTCGCCTACCCCGGTCACAGTAGAGCATATGCTCAATCGTATCCTGACGGATACGCCCCTCACTTCGGCGCTACGTCTTCCTCACAAGGCATGTCTTTCTTTTCTTTCCATCCCCTTTCTCTTTCTTACTTTCTTGCTTGCATTCTAGGGCATCTCAGGCTGTACTATGTGTGCCAGTCGCCGTGTTCTCTGTACCCACAAGGAGCCGCACTCCACCTGCGCTAATTGCGCCAAGTTGGGGCACTGTTCCTGCCGCCTGTCAGCTGACGACCTTCAAGAGGTCCGGGACACGCTCTTGCCCCTCGCCCAGGGTGCTTACCCTTGTGAGTACTACGTTACCTCTTTGCTTTACCTAAATTCTTACTTTCTTTCTGTTCCAGTGGTTGAAATGTACGATATCAACTTTCGAACTGCCGACCGCACCATCTGCCATCTCCTCAATTGTCTCCACGACACTTATCAGATCTGGTCGGCCTCATTGTGCAACATGTTGCAGGCCTTCGCCCAGATCGAGGAAGACCACGATACTGACACGCTCATGAAGTTCGCCTGCTGCTTCCCTGTCGGACGCCGATTACTGATCGACATGGGGTTGGTGGAAGAGAAGGATAACAAAGAACTGGACCACGTAGCTGCACCCCAGGTCCGGCATTATTATCCGAGGGAACCTGCTCGACGCGTTGAAACTCTAACAGGTCCAGAACCATCTCTCCCTTCGTGGCGTGCCATTTCTCCTTATCCATCGGGTGCCGAGCAAGCGAAGGTCCAAGAGTCCAAGGATGGAGAAGATGAAACCCAGGTTGCAGACGACCTCCAAGTCGACCAGCTCCATTCCTCGCCTGTCCATCCTGAACGTCGGACTCGGTCGTCGTCACTGGCAAGTGACCCGGACTTTTATGCCTCTGACTGTACTGACGAAGCGTTTTCTGATTCCTCCGTTGGTTCCGACCTTGTCACCCTTCATCCCAATGCCGACGTTCCTGCTCCGCATCTGCCATCTACTGGACATATGGCTCCCAAAGACATAGTATGGCATCGCAAGTACCTTGCTAAAGTGGGGGTGGCTGATAGCTGGATTTGGGATGACGATGAGGCCCTCTCGAATATGGAACCACGGGACGACTTGGTAGAAGGTAGTGTGGATGAAGAAAAATCCCTCAAAGGGTCACCGGAGTGAGAATGGCATGAGGCCACCTTCCGGTTCTTCTTCCTGTCGTACCATCTCCATACTTTCCTTAGGACTTCATTTCTTTCTTGCAGTATCGGCCGTTTTCCGTTTCTTGGCACAGCTTTTGTAGTATTATAGGTTCACGTACTTTTCCGAATGTCATGCCCAAAAAAGGGCCGCCTTTTCTAGCCTAGTGACTGATGGACTAGTCAAGCGTTCAACCCGGTCTTTGCTAGGTAAGTATTCGAGTAGCCCCTTCGTCACCAAAATTTCGTACTGGACTATGCTTGTCAAGATCGCCTTGATCTTGATCTGGATCGAGCTAGGGTCGCTTACTGTGAAATTCTTAAGTGCATACAGGCTGCCCGGTCATCAAGGCATGCCTAGACTGTTGGATATAAAACCTTAGAGTTTATTTACCTGCTACCTGGTATACCTTTCTGTACCATGGGCCACAAGATTTATCCTGACCTGCTTGCACTCGATACTGGGATTCCCCCAGAGCAATTCCAGTCGCTTCTAGCATCAGATCATTATATCCTACTTCGCCAGGCTCGTTCTCGATATCCTGCCCTGGTCGATATGAATACCCTGGCGACCTACTTACAGCCCGAGATCAAGTCTATGCTTGACTCCGTTCATCCTTTCTTAGTACATGCTTTCTTTCCTTTTATTAACCAGGCTTACCAGTTTCCAGGCTGCTCACGAGTCTTACTTTCCCAAAGACCGTGATACCCTTGTTATCCGTTTCCTGGCAACGATGACTGCTCTAGCCAATAACCTCAGCCCAGCTTTCCAATCTGCGCACTGGGAGGTTTGGAAAGTTGTGGATTCTACCAGGATGTTTCAATTACTCAGCGTGTGTTCTCATTCTTTATTTTATAACTTGATTTCACCTTCCCTGTTCAGTTTTCCAAGCCCAGGTTCGATCCTGACGATACATTTCCTGGCGAAGTCATCGCACCCATGCTCCCAGGACTCCCGACTAAACGGAACCGTTTCCAGGTAGCACCTGAAGAGGTTTTTCGTCAAGGCCTCCGTTGGCAGCACTTCCAGGATGCCGCTTCTAGCACCTGGTTTGCTAACTTGGTAGGTTTCCACTGTTCTTCTTACTTGCCCAGCATACTCATTCTTTGTAGCAGTGGCCTCCTACGGATACTGTGGCATCTCCCGATGCCAACCACTATTTTTAGAGTTCCTGTACTTAGAATTTGCGCTCACCTCCTAAAAGGCTTGATGTGCTCCTGAATGTATGCTCCGTTACTAAGTTCCAGACGTGACTTCAAATTGCGCTTTCGAGAATTTCATTTCCCGGCTGGATTTAGCCTAAACAGCTCTGCCAGGTTAAACTTAAACCGGGTGTTGCCTTTGTGCATCCGTCTGTTCCAACCTGGTCATGGTATCTCCTTCGTTCTGGCCTGAGGATTTACCTCTGCCTTTCATTTGGAGGGATCTCCCTTGCATATTGCAGGGTGATCACTACCTTTTGCTTCGCCTGGCCCATACCCGATACCCTCAAGTACTCAACTCTAACATACTGGTCAACTGGTGCCAACCCGAAGTAGCTGACTTAATTAACCATGTGCATCCTTTCCTGGTAGGTGTCCTTAAGTTGCTGTACGATCCTTGCTAAGTTACGGCTTTAGCTTGCCCATGCAAACCATTTTCCGGACGATACAGATGCCCTAGCCCTGCGATTCCTTATGACCGTTACCGCGGTTGCCAATAACTTGGGACCTTGTTTCATCGACCCAGATTGGACTCCTTGGATGGTACAGGATAGTCGACGTCTTGTTATAGGTTTCCGGGTAGCTAATTGCCTTGCGACTTTCCAGGCCTTCTAACTTCTTTCTTTTTCCTAGAGCTTTATGTCTCCATTTCCTAGTGACTTGCATTTCCTGGGTGACCAGGATCCAGTTATCCTATTGGATCATTTTCTGGGTTCGACGGGTCTTCAGTATACCAGCGATTTGCCGTTCTTCCAGGTTGGGATCGGTTGTTATCCGATGGACCTGGACAAATTGCCAAGTGCGATTGCGGATGCCCTGCGACTTGTGAGCTCATTCTTTTCTCCTGGTGCCTGTTTCCAACTCGACACTTCGCGCTTTAGCTGTCCCAGGCTGGAGTTTATCCTATTCACTTGCCTGCCCGGCTGTTCTCGCATGGTTATACTTGGTCTGGCACAGGTCCCATTTTCTAATCCCCAGGGTACCTTACTTAATTATTTCCATTCTTAGTACCCTTTTCTTCTATAGTAGGCACTTTTACGAATTCAGCTGTTTTATTCAGCCTGCTTCCTTCCAGGTTGCCCGATCGTATGACAGGACTTCTTTTCTAGTTACCTGTGCTTCCATGGTTTGCTTTTAGCGTCTTTTACTTAGTTTCTCAATCTTATTGGGGCAAAAATAAATCTATATTTTCTGAGATAGACTCTAGTCCTCTCCCCCCAACTAAATAAAGCCTGTCCCAGGCTGTTCGCGATCGATCGATCATTTCCGATCAATGAAATGCTCGAAGACGTTAGGCTAAGCTAGGATGCAAAGTATGAGCTCACAGAACAAGTTTTATGAGCTCATAAACTGTCAGGCGGTTTTCTTCTTTGTCAGGGATGGGTCTGAACATGCCTCAACGCGACTGTCGGTTGTTTATAAAACCAAGCTGCCCGGTGAACTTAGACAATTATTTCCTTTGTTCAATATGGCGCCTGAGTCTATGCAGATCACTCGTTTCAAGGCTGCTCTTGCTCTTCTCTGTTCCCGTTGCAAAAATGGCGTTTACCTTCCTACCATTCCTGCTGTACTTCCCATTCTCAAAGATGGCAGTCCAGACTTCGACGCCATCCTAATTATCGACAAGGAGAACCTTCGGTTCTTAGAAGGGATTGTACGTTATTACCTCTCTCTCAGGCGCCTTACTAACTTCGTAATAGATGCCTCTCTTCGATAACAAGGAGCGCTTCATGAAGGCCTACCAGGAAGACCCGTCACTTCTTCGTGAGGGAGCCTTTGGTGCCCGGCGGGATTGTCAGAACCGGAAACTCCTGCTTGAACTCCCACATGGTTCTAAACCTCCCGACAATGCAACTCTTCCTGGACGTGTGACTGGTTGGATTCACACTGACCGAGAGGAGAAGCAGGCTGCTGCGGCTGCTGCCATGGCTGCGGCTAATGCTCAGGCTGCTGCTTCCTCTCAGTCTTCTTCCAAGCCCTCCGGGTCTATCCCAGTATGTATTAAGTCTCTATCTGCAAGCCCCCTCGTTGACTTGTCCCCTTCTTCAGAAATTATCCTTCAAGAAGACTGGAAAAACTGTTAAGTCCAAGGCAACTGTTGGTCTTGACACCGATCCCGAGACCATCCTGGTTGATGAGGATGTCCAGATGAAGACTGGGGAGGAAAGTATCATTGTTGACCTGGATAGCGACAAGTCTGACAGTGTACATAGCCTGAACTTGATTCCGACCTCATTGTTCAACTCGCATTTGGAATTTCACAGATGAGCGTCGCCGGAGAAGTCCCAGGTGACTTCCTACTTTTTCAGTCTTCACCTGTGCTTACCAGGTTTCTTTCTATAGTTAAGCCAACGAATCGAGGACACACAACTCGTAAGCATCGTCCTCATCTTTCCAAGCGGGCTGCTAGTCATTCGCCTCAGGCTACCCTGGTGAGTAATTCCTCATGTCCCATTGATACCTGACTGACTACTTTAATTTTTATTCAGCGTACCGCTACCCAGGACAAGTGCAAGGCTTGTCACAAGGAATCCCATGGTCTCTCTCTCTGCGTGACGGTGATTGCTATTCCTTACTGTGATGTTCTTGGACTCAATACCTCTGATCCATCTTATCGCAAGGCAGTCGAGGTTCTCGAGAAGCAAGACCGGGCCTTAGCTGAGCATGGAAACAAGCGTATCCGTACCGATATGAATACCCTGGCACGTCACGGCGAGTTGGGCACTCATCATGTCTTGTTTCCCATTGCTGGTATGTACCTGGTGACCGTTATTGCTGGATTTTACGTATTTTCTCCCAGCCTGGGCGACTCAATTCGATCTCCAGGCCAAGCATGATTCATTGGAGGAGGCTCTCAAGATCTTGGCCAGCCATCACTCCCATGCTGATTCCTTGGAAGGTCTTCAAATCCGTCAGTGCCAGCTCCAGGCTGATCTCGAGCTCCTGGTTCACTGCTTGGAATCGACGGTCGTTGCTCACAAGTTCTGTGTCAACAAACTCAGTGTTATCGATGCCAAGATCGACAGGATGATCTCTTAGGCTTACTTATATTCCCTTATTTCTTCACTCTATGTCTTCCACTTAGCAGACCCCATCCAGGCGACTTAGTCGTGCCGTAGATAGCTTTGATTGAGTGCCTTACGCATTCTCAGCCTGCATGCAAAACATAAATAATTTCTCTACCGACCACGTGCCTGCAACTTCCAAAAGAGGGTCCAATGACTCGTAATCCTCGTATTCTGGGTGAGAATAAGCGAAGTCATCAGGTACATCTTCTACTGGTTCCGGCGAGTTTTCCAGTTGGTCTAAGCTTTCCTTTGACATGTCAAGTAGGGATTCCAGCTCTTCCGGGAGATCAATCTTTTTCCTTGCCATGTAAGGAATAACCCGGAAGGTGGCGACCTTGAATCCCCAAGTGCTGCCATTCATTTCTGCAACAATGTACAATCCTCCCTTTGTGTGTCTAACAACCATGACAGGACCCAAGTACCTGGGTCGCATCTTGCCACCAATAGCCTTCTCAATGGCTGTATTTCTGACCAATACCAGGCTACCAGGTTTGAAGTTCAACTGTTTAATAGTTGCAGCATGCATCCGGGCATACTTCAAGGTGTCGCGTACCTTGATTTCGTGTAGCTTACTGCGTAACTGTGCTACGTCAGACGAATGTTTTGCCAAAGCCCGGGCCTGGTACCCAATCACTTCTTCCGTAGTGAGAATACGACCTGGGTACTTTACTAACCATGTAGCTTCTACTATGTCTAGGGGAAGTACCGGGTGGGCACTGGTTACTGCGAAGAAAGGGGAACAACCCATCCTGCATCGTGTAGTAACTCGGTCTGACCACATGATGTGTGGGAAATATAATGACCATTTGGAAGCGACACCATTACAAGCTTTGTACAAGGCCTGGCGGACGTCTAAGTGAGGCCATTCAATTTTTCCATTAGCCTGGGAGTTGTATCCCGAGATTTGAATACCCTGGATACCATAAGTTGCTTCCAGGTAAGCTATGGCTTTCAAGAACGGTGACCCATTGTCCGTCACAATCAATGATACACAACCCCACCTGCAAAACACATCGTGGAACATCCAGTCTCCGATTGCTTTCCCAGTTTCTGTTTTCAACATTTTTCCTTCCATCCAACTGGTCAAAGCACACCTGCCATGTACGATATATCGGTACCCGGAAGATACTGGCATATGCATAGTATCTACATGGATGACCTGGAAAATCGATGGTGTGTGAGTTACCATTGGTGGAATCCGTACTTTCAACATCTGACGTTTCTGGCATATTTCGCAAGTCTTCACGTACCAGGCTATGTCACGTTCTATCTCCAGCCACCAGAACCGCTGCTTAATTAGTTCTGTAGTTGCGTAGACTCTGCGATGCCCCAGGTAGTCATGACTTGACTTCATTATATGCATTCGTCTTGGTTTCTCAATTACTAACTTATGTTCACCTTCCAGGCTCTTATGGTATATCCTTCCGTTCTCTTTGAAGAAATGTGTAGCAAACCTTACAAAGTTTCGAACTTGGGCATCCGCCAGGTTGGGAGGCTTTTCAAGTGGGTGGTCGAGCCAGGCCGGCACTAATGCCAGCCGCTCATCCATTTCTTTACCAACTTTTCCCCGATGATCTTCAGGGTACTCTTCGGTCTCACTGAATTCTTTTGCTTCGGGCAGGATGGGTGCGCCATACAAAACACTCGTTACCTGGCCGCCACTGTCAGCCAGGAAGCCTCGATCCGTTTCTAAGTCTACCAGGGCCCTGGCTATCGTGACATAACCATGCCTGGTATCTATCCGATCTGAGAAGTCATCGAATTCCAGTGGGGCTGGTTCTTGACTGATGTCATATTCTAATGGCTCATGTTCCGGTTCCATGTCTTCTTCCAGGCATCCATATTCATCGTCTCCTGGTTGGAAATCCCTTCTGGAAAGACCATCTGGTCCATGAACTTTGCCAGGTACGTGTACTAACTTGAAATGAAATAGAAGTATAGCTTCTATCCATCGGTTTATTGCTGCATTAGGTACACTATCCAGGTTTCGCAACATTCCTAAGATATACTTGGCGTCAGTTTCTACTACCAGGTTCCTTGATCCCCACACCCAGTTCTTGCAAGCTATCAGGGCTAAGTGCAATCCATACAGTTCTCTCTTGGGTTGAGAAAAGTTAGCTTCGCGTTCATTCAAGGTCATGGATCCGAACCAGCAATAATATCGGGTCTTAGGATTTTCAGGGTCAGATTGACATATGTAGAATCCAACAGCCCACCAGGATGTATCGACACATAAGATGATTGGCCATTCATAGTTTACTGACTGCAATGCTGGGCTACTTGCCAAGGCATCTTTCAAAGCCTGCATCGATTTTTCTTGTGCCGGGCCCCACTCAAAGGGTACTTTCAGTCGTGTAAGATTAGTCAAGGGCTCTGCGAGCTTTGAATAGTCCTTAATGAACATTCTGCAGGTCCCACAAGTTCCCAGGAAGGCTCTTATGTCTCCTAGTTCCTTGCAGGGTCCCCAATTGAGGATGACTTTCATACGTTCAGTCTCTGGCTTCCTTCCTTCATAAGTGCAGCGGTGGCCTACTACGATAATTTCAGAGGCACAGAGTACGGCTTTGGGCCCAGAGAAAGTTCCTCCACTATATTTCATCTGTTGAACAATTCGGTTGAGCACCTGGAAGTGTTCCCAGACGAACCTGCGAATTCCTGGGTTCTCAGGTATAGTTTCGTAACCTCTGCCTGGCAGCTCGTATCTGGTTTCTGGTCCTTTTACCGGGACATCATCAATGTATGGCCAGGTGAACAATGGTATCTCATCTTGTAAAATGTAGGTTACATCATCGTGGAATATGGGTACTGAGTTGGTCCAGCCCATTGGTAATGTAACCAGGCACAGTGCTCCAAACGGCGTTTGGAAAGTGGTAAGGTCCCGGGACGATTCCGCTATGGACCTTTCATCATATCCTACGAATAAGTCCAGGATCCCACCACAAGCCCTGCCCGCAAAGTGAGCTGCTAGTTCTTCTGTTGCTGGGGGAAGTCCAGAATGCGCAATGGTAACCACATTCAACGGTTCCAGGCTGTGCACTAAACATAGACTCTTCCCATCTTTCTTCAATACACAAAACCACCTAGAGCGGTATGATGAGTTCGAAGGCTCATATACTCCTGCATCTATCTTAGTTTTGATTATCTTACATACATCCTGGTATATGGGAGCTGGGATAGGAATGTTCATAAGAAATCTTCTTTGTGTATGTCATCGATCTTGAGTTTTCTCTCTTCAGAGTACCTTCCAGTTGGTTTAAAATCTTCCGGGTGAGGTGATAATTCAGGCATCCCTGCGAGCGGATCTCCCTTTATATCACGGATGATTCTGAAGTTGGAAGGTAGAGTTGTCAGCACTGGCTTTGTTTTCAAGGCCACCAGCTTATATTTCTTGGTTACAAGAACTGCCTCTCGTTGCCAGGTATCCAACCCAACATTCAAGGGTGCGTCATACAACTCCTCCCGGTCGACCCAAGCTTTACCTGGTTGCCAACTCTGGGCTTCTCTTTTATTCGAAGCTTTGATATCAAAGACTGGTAAGGTATCCCTCACTTCCTGTACCAGGACCCCTGTTTTCGTACTTGGCTTAATGCCTAAATACTTCTGGGCATAAAATGTGCTGATAAGGGACCCGGCTAGTGGGTCCTCAGTTACTTTCTGACTTGCGCTGAGATAGAAATCTTGGAGATTCGTCCTAGTGAATTTATCCTGTTTGCCTGGAGGCCCAGCATAACTTTCAATGACGAAGTTACCCTCCTTATCCTGTGTGAGAATGACCGCGAGCTCTCCTTGATCTGGGATCAGATCTTCGAGCTCTGAAAACCCGTAGCAGGTTCCCTTTGAAGTACTGCCAGTGGTTGTCCTCTCAGATAAGTATGTACCAGGGTCCGTTTCTTGGTGTTAGGGTCCGTAAGAATCATTGTCTGGTTGCCATCCGACGAGTTCTTTACTTCACTAGAGGTTAAAGTATCAAACGGTCTTCCAAGCAACAAATCATACGCTGGGTTAGCTAGCACATGGACTTGCAGGTAAACCGTGACTTCCCCAAACAAGAAAGCCACATTCTTCACTAGTCCTAGCGATTTTTCGACTCCTCTATTCGCACTTTCCATCAAGATATAGATGTCCAGTGAAGAGGCTGGCTGTGGGCACCTGTGGAATAGTGAGCGGGCTAAAGGGCGAACCTCAAAAACCCACACACACACTCACACAACTACACAAACTACAATCACCCTCGTAAGTTCTAGGGGGAGCGATTATTTCTAATGCGATCCAACTATACTTCAATATCTCGAAGAGTTTCTCTTATTCTCAGCGCTCTTAGCAAAGCTAAGCTTTCTCTAATGACTTCCTAAGTCTAGGAACTTTTTACAGGAAGGTCATTCACTGGCGCGACGCGACCTTCAAGGCAGATTTGAGTTAAAGTACACAAGGGACACTGATCCCAACAGAAACAGAGGTAATACATGCCGAAACTTTAGTGAGCTCGCTAAAAGAACACCACAGGCAAGCACTGACTTAGCCTGCTCGCTACACAACTGTATGTAGGGGTTCTCCAACTAACTCCAGCAGGTTATCTCGACTCAAGAACACTTCAGAAGCGCTCGGAAAACAGATTCAGAAACGGAACTTCGACAGAACTGACATGGAACAGACTGAAACAGAACAGAACAGAACAGAACAGATCTCAGATTTCCACTTCAAAACATTCTCCGAACAGACTTATCACACTCAACAGAACAGAAACAGCGTCACTGATTCGTATTCACTCTGACTAAGTTCTCAAAAGTCTTATCAAAAGGGTATCTCGTATTTCTCTGAGTGAGCTCACTAATTCTATGCACAGCTCGAAGTCACAAACTGATCCTTTGTTACAGTACCGCCTTCAACGCGTGCACAGGAACTTGGGGGCTCGAAACTTCACCTCTACCTACTGTAACCAGTCTACTTATACTACAGGGGAATTAGAATTACAAACGTCGTGCAGTACCCAGACTCCTACATGTGTAGCACGTTGCCACCGCTGCCTTACTGAGCATCCGAGTCGGACTTCCCAGTTTTAGTCTCATTTCTATAGTGAGCTCGCTAAACGCGTGCCAAGAGGTGCTCTCCCGACACCCATGGGCTTGTTCTCTAGCGACCGACAGGTCTAGGTGCATGGAACTATCAGTTCTGGTGTATGTCGTTCAGGACTTCTTTCTTGGATTCACAGAGGCTTCTCGTAGACACGGCAACAAGTGAGTCTTCAAACAATGGGACTCAGAACAATGGAACGCGGGCTCGCGGACTTCGGCCGAAGCCCATTGCCCAAGCTCATGCCGGTGATATCTGTCATCTCGCTTAAGGATTTCCCCGGATTTTCAGGTACGGCGCGTCACAGTTAGCGAGCGCGCTAAGTGTTCTCAGTGTCAGTGCAATCTTCAAGGTTTTATCTAGCTACCGCGAGTGTGCTTGTAAGTTAGAGCCTAAGGCATTGGGTATAGGGTTTGGCCTTCTCATCATGCATGCCCATCAGGTACAGTGCTGTGACTAAGTCCTGTTTAGAATCCCGTTGCTTCTTATGCCATAAGTTATATTCCATGTCATTGCACTGCGTAGCATTAGTGTTGACGCGTAGTTTTAGTCCGCTCGCTCACTATCTCTCAGTATGCGTGTAAAACACTCTAGATTGCAAAATTACACGCGTAAATAGGCTGCAGTCACAACACCGGGTCGTATTCCCATCCCATCTGCTTAGCCAGGTTGGCTGAACATGACACTATTTGTGACCCAGAGTCACAAAGACATTCCAGCTTCTTTCTTCCGGACACCAGTGGATACACTGATCTCAAAGATTGTGACGAAGAAGCTATGACTACTACCGTTTTGGCCCTCTCCCCTTCCGGGATGGATTCCAGATATTGAACTACCGGGTCACTAATAATTGTCAACCCTTCCGGGACAAGACCTTGACACATAGTGGTTACATAGAAGCCGCATTCGACTGGTAGATCTTCAATCCTGATGCAGTTTTCCAGGCCTGGTTCCAATATATTGGCTACGGAGCCCAGAGGTACCCTAGGTGCTTCCTGCTCATCAACTTCTTCTGTATCCGTGAGGTCTTCCAGGAGTACTTTGCTGGTAGGAATCCTTTTCAGAGTTACATAGGTCTTCATCTTCTGCCTGGCACCTGGTGATGATGCCAGCCAATGTTCTGCTGTCAGGGTAATGGGAGCCTTCATCATCTGGTCCCAGACTTCCTTTTCTAAGTCACCTGACTGTGCCTCTACTTTCTTTCTATAAGCTGGTTCCTTTCTAACTTCACCTGGTAGAACAGAGATTTTCTCAACGCGGCCAGGGGATGGAAGTAAAGTTACATCGGGTACTGCGGCATATGGGTTTTCGGGTTCCAGGTGACCATCATTCCCAGTGACTGAGATCACTGGTGGTACTGATCGGGACCGCTGATCGACTACATCAGGATCGTCAGGTACGAGGTTCTCATCATTATTACTACTAGAATTAGGGGTATATTTGCTTTGCAATTTTGGGCGTGATCGCCAGTTTTCTGCCTCTGCTCCTCGCTTTTGGTTTTGGATTACGTCCTCTGGTGAAGAGTCGACCGGCCCAGCCACCGCCGCTGCCTTTTTATGGTGCTCCCCTGCCTTCATTGAACGTTTACGAAAATCCTGGGTATCTTGCGGAGCATCATTGGCCTGGCTAGCCTCTTGATGTTGCTGGCCTCTGGTTTTCACGACAGATTCCCATCGTGGTCCTTCCAGGTACTGATCAACTTTATCCGGTGCCAGGTGAGAGGTTTGTTGTACCAACTTTTCGAGCATGTTCCTCAAGTAGCTGATATCCTCTTTCTCTTCTGCTATCTGATGTGACATAACGTACTGAGGCACCGGGCCTGGTAATTGCGGGGCCGCAATATAGGTCTGTCCAACTTGGTTAGATCCAGAAGCCTTATGCGTTTCATAATAATGCTGAATTCTTGCTTTTTGACTCATCCCGGTGGGTTCTCTCGGAGGAGGATTCCCATCTCGTAACCTGTACATATTCTGAGTTCCTGGTACATGAACTAGTTCCCCGGTAGTAATCATCTCTAACTTGTAGGGACAATCTACCTGGTAATGTCCAGGGGTCTCACAGAAATGACAGTTACCCGGCACGTCACTGCCAAACTGTCCGTGAGTACTTGGTGCTGGTGCGAGCTGGGTTGGCCTTGGTTGGGCCTTTATCTGCGCCAACATCTTGTGTAACTCCTCATCTCTTTTGCCTTGTGATGTAACCTGGTTCTCAAGTAATTTAACTATGAGTCGGTTGCTGTCCACCATTTCAGCCAGGAAGTTATGCAGTTCCCCCGATAATGCAGCAGGTGCGGGTTCTTTCTTGAGGGTCATTATGCCTCTACTAGCTGAAGCACCTGGCGCCTCAACCTTGGGCGAACTATCCACCTTAGGTAAAGACCCATCGAATAATTCATTGTAGACGGCACCTGGTCCCTTCAAGACCCAAGTTCCTGCGTCGAACATGTCTTCCAGGGGCCAGGGATCGCGTGCAGTTCTCGCCGGGTTAGCCGCAGTTACTGGCACTGCTGGCTGACTACTTAGACGGTCCCGCATACGCTTCCACAAGGTATCATGCTCGAATGGCGAGATGAACAACCTTACCAGGTCCAGGTTCAACATTAAGTTCTCCTTGATAACCTGTTTACTTTTGGCCTGGAACTCCCTTCGATAATTTAAATAATCGGCAGAGTCCATAACTCCTTCTCTCTTGCACTTATGGGCTACTTTAATAAGCCCCTTTCATGCATCTTCATCATCTTCTGCTGCACCATCATAACTGCGCAGGACTTCCTCCTTGAAGTCTTCCCAGGTCTTCCCTGCCTCGAAGGTAGGGAATGCTCTCCACTGATCTTCGATGTCTGTACTGGTATAACGCACAGCCCAGTCTTTCTTCTCCTTGTCCGTGTCCACCCCAGCATGAATCTTAAACATTCCTTCCATGATCCGGAAGTGTTTTCGAATCGCCCGGGGGTCCGAGGTTTCAAGCCTGGGTGCATCTCTTGATGACTCCATTGGCATCTGTCGCTTGGTAGCCATGTTTAATGACTGTGGTTGTGTAGGATTCTGTTGAGGTTGCGAGTTCAGATTTGAACTGAAGTTGGTGGCTGGCCTAGTGCTACCAGGAAGACTAGAACTTGGTGAATCAGGTTCCGGGGAAGCATCGTGCAATTCTCTTTCGATCCTTGCTCGGTCCAAGGCTGCTGCAGCAATGTTCGCTTCTATCTCGGCTTCTAAATCCCACTGATCTGCTTCTTGTCTTCTCCGTGTTACGTTCAGAACTATACCAGCTGCTACTTCAGCTTCGTGGTGCAATCTGCACTCCGCTGCCTCTCGTGCTGCTTGTAGTTTTCGTGCGTCTCGTGCGGCTTTCCGCAGCGATTGAACACTATTCGGATCAGGTAGAAGACGTGAATCTTCTTCCAGGTTGTGGAACTATTAATTCCAATACAAGCTTCAACTAGATATATACCCCCTCGCGGTGGGCTCCAGATGAAAGGTACTAACTATGCTAAGGAAGGCGAAGTGCTACACACACACACACACCCTAACACACTCAATAATTGCGGTTTGAAGGGGTAAGTTACACCGGGTCGATACTTGTACTGTTATACTAGTTTCGGGTGGACAATGAATATAATTTGTTTGATTGCAATATTCTGAAACAACACAAATCTGAACTTTCTGTGTTACCGAACACAATCTGATACCAACGGGCTGCCTGGTACAGTTTCCTGAATGCGTACTAACTGCCTGGTGCAGTGTCTGAACTGATACTGTCTGCCTGGTTGCAGTTTTACTGGTACTAACATGGATTCTGGACTGTACTTCTGACTGTCTGTCTGTATCTTTCTGAACTGACTGCTTTCTGAACGGTTCTTGCACACAAAACGTGACCAGATCACTAAATACTATTCCAGGTGAGTCTAGGACTCGAAGCTCTTAACCAAAACCCATACTAATTTGCTTGGTAGCGTTCCGGGGGCCAGAAACCTGCCTTCCTGCTAGTTACATGGATAGTATTTATACTATTCTACCCTATCTATATTTCCAATCTTTCCAGGTACTATTACTGCGCTTGCTGATGGAGCCGGGTGGATATGAGCTCACTTCCTGACAGATATGAGCTCATATCCCGGCTCCCAGGTGAACCCGATCATGATCTTGTGCCGCAACCTGGTGTCCTGGCTCATGATACTAAGTTTTACCTGTACCGGGGCAGAGCCCCTGGTGTTATGGTTCTTGTTTCTCATCTACCCGGCAAGCCAACCGTTCGCCTGAGAGACTAGGGAAGCTGCCAGGTAAGTAAAGCCGTACGCGATCGTCCTTTATTTTGTTATTCTTACTTTCGGACCGATGCCATCAGGTGGCCATCAGTGCCAGTGATGCCGGGTCAGCTGGTACCATGTGCGTCGACCCGCCTGGACCTTTGGTTACTCGGGCTGAGTCATCGGATCACCGGCTCGTCACCCGAAGCATAGATATTGTATGGCTAAGTCCCAATGGTTTACTACGCTGGTTACTTCCCGGTTTATTGTCTTTTCTTACTAGTATAGGTAGAGATACAACTTGTAATGTTGTAAAATTGAATTTTACATGCCTTTTTCAAGTGTGTACACCCTGTAGGCGTATCACCTGTCCTTGGTGGTCTGTATACTGTGTTAATATATTGTCGTGTTGCAAACAAAAAACACAAACCTTGAAAATCTCAATTTGCATCAGGATTTCCTGATCTTAGAAAGTGATGACAGCGTCCAAGTGATCTGAGATGTCTTTGCACCAACCACTAGTATGTTGTGGTCATGAAAACGTTCAAGAGTGCGAACAGGATTGTTGATGGCCAAATTGAAATCCAGGCGATATACCAGCACTGACTCTACAGTGGGTGCTACAGAAAGTGAAACTGAGGCATTAATACAGCACTTATGCCATCCATCCAGCAATGCTCGATCTTGAACCTCCTAAAAAACATCATTTATAGGATTTCAAAAAAGGGATGGGTGACATACGTTACTAAGCAATGGCAAATGATAGAATGTACGGTATCTTTCACCCACTAAAATGGGGGGAGACTCAACCATTGTTCCAGAACGAGCTAGGTTGCGATCTTGTTTTAGTTGCTTTTGGCTAGCTGATACAGATGTAGATCATTGCCTCTTTTGGTGATACAAGAAGGGATACTTGTTTGCTCGAACAAACAAAGAACCGTCTTCACCAATTTGACTGAGCTCAATGGTGGGGAGGTCATTAATGTTCAAGCCAGGTGTTTGGTGGATGGGGCCAGAGCGCCTAGAAAGTGTCCGTGGCCCCATTGTTCCACTTGCAATGTCAAGAGGCGGTGAACCTTGGGAATCGAACCAAGTGTAAAAGCTGGGAGGTGGCAGGCATTAAGAAGTAATTGAGGAGGGGCACTGCAAGACCTTGGTTTCCGTTTTACTTGGTGTTTCTATGCCGGCGATGATGAACGTCCTCTGCGTTGTTCTGCCTGGGATCCCACCTTGTGAGCTCCCTCGAAGTTTCGACTATTATTAAGCCAAGCAACATTTGCCAATCCTATACATGAACCTCCAGGCCTGAGGATTTGGTTACACTGAACAAGGGCAGCAAATGCATCAGAAAACCAGGTATCCGCTCCCTCAGAGTCATCTCGGATCAATGGTGCAGCCTCAGTCAAGAAGTTTGTCAATCCAGTGTCACTTGTCCAACAGCCCCATGCGACACCGATAATACAATGCCAGAGCATTTCCTCAATACAGTTGGAGGAGTTCCAGTTTTCCATAAGATGCAAGTCGTCCTCTGACCTGCAAGCAAACATCAGTGATACCTTTGCAAGATGCTAAAAAAAAACTCCTACCTGTAAAGTAAGCGAGATGGAGATATGTTCCCCGGAACCTGGGTACAGAATGAGCAGGAGTGGTGATATCGCAACGGCATCAATGAAAGTTTTCTTCCAATGTTGCACATTTTGTTCAAAAGTCTCCTCAAAGATCATTGTAGTTCTGAGGTGGTCCGAGTGTTCAAACCTTACAGTTAGAGCGAGTACCATGAATACTAAGGGAATCTTACCTTTACGAATGAAAGTTTTTGCCATGCTAAAGAAACAATCAGAAGTTGATTTAAACAGTGTTGGATCCCCTTACAAGGCAAAGCACTGAGCGAATATGAAAAGCGATGCCATCCAAAATACAAAGGGCATTGGTGTAGGTTTTGATGGACTCATCCTTCTGGTTGTTCACCAGGAGGCAAATATCACGATAGACATTCTCTTGTTGGTTAGTTGCCCATGGACTTGGCATTGATCTGTTCCTATATGCACCAAGCAATGTGTAAAGTTCATTCAACTTCACGGTCCATTGCTCCAGCGGCTCCCGAATCTACCAGACAGGATTAGGAAGGCTCTCACATTCAAGAAATGACTAACTCACGAAAGCTGGGATAGTATGAATGAGTTGGGATACGCGAAAAGATGCAGGCCATGTCCACCACCTTCGCAAGGATAATGGTGTCAAGAATTGTGCCAAATTGGTCTTCTGTGGTGCTGATTTCATCGATACAGGCCTTTTCAGGTTCGCACCAATATCGGTCAGCAAACTGCTTCAGTGATCATCCCATCACGATATCTCCCAAGTAATAGACTTTTCAGTGCAAATATGACATTAACTGCATCCTCAAGCTCTAAGGTCAGAGAAGCATCATACCTAAATTGATGAGTGAGGAGCCAGGATGATGGACCAGGATAGGATTGAGATAGGATCTCATTTACTCCCTTGACTTCAGCTATTCGTGAACCCAGATTAGAATTTTAATAAATTATTTAAGTATCTATATATATTGATTTATTTTGAGTCTATAGCTGCTTATAGGCAAATAACAAGTCTGATTAATAAAAATCACAAGACCTTATCCATATACAGCAATGGCAAGGTGCCAGGGGTGCTCAGGCACAATCTCATTTGAAATGAGCATACCAGTCTTGTATTCCATAGAAGTCATATGAATGTCCTTGTCAATGAAGGAACGAGGAAGCACAGTCAAACTATCGATGGCAGATTTCTCAGGAGAAGAGTCTTTGCCGGTGACAGAAGGGACGACAATAGGAGAAGAGTCTGGCATAGTAGCAGATGGCTCTGCAGCAGCGCTGGACTGACTAGTCTCAACACCAAGCATGATACTCCAGAACGGTTGGAAGTTCAAGAGCGAAATGCCAGTGATGTGCTCGGTAACGGGCAGCGTGCAAATGAAACAAGCATCTAGATTGTCAATCTAGATACTAAATCACACACACACACACACTATCACCAATGTATATAAGTTTGAGGGTGAGTACGATAGAAGCACTCGTGATGTACTTAGATTTAGATAATCTAGTGGGGTTTTGTCTGAAAACAACTTCAATTCTTCTTTCGATGTGTTTTACACAAAGTACACTAGTCTGCGATAGCGGAGTTTTATGGACTGGTTTTGCAAGGTATAGTCGAGCAAGTTATACTCATTTCGATGTCGTCTAGAAGAGCTTCTAGCAGACACTTCAAATAATCAAACAACCAAAGACTCCGAGGTCTACAAAGAGTGCAAAATCACTCTACAAAGAACGCTCAGGTTCTGACTTCAAGTACAAGACTTGCAAAGAGTACACAGACTCTGGAGTTCCTTGAACTCGACGATTGTTCAAACTTAAAGTGTTCTAGGGCTTATTTTACTTCAACTAGATGAGGTCTTTTGACTTAAAGTTGACTCAGCACGTCTAGATCACTAATCTCAGAGAGAGAGAGCACGAGGCCTTTGTCCGTGGAGCAGTTCAATTAACTAGCAAGGCGCAAATGCAGGGACGGCTCTACTTCCTACTTAACTCTTCTAGATTACTGTAGTCGCCCTTATGGGTTGACTTTGGTAACTTAATTCACTTCAGTCGAGGATATGCAATAAAACCAGTGATTGATTAGGTAGCTATACAGGCTACTAGCACAAATGCGGGGGAATGCTTTCTTGCCATTATGCGTCTAGTTGCTGCTAATTTATACGATTCATGTTCTAGGTATAGGAGCCCGTATCTACAGTAATTATGGTATGAGCTTTGGAATTAATACAAACAGTGAGTCACTATCCTACAAGTATCGCGCCATTCCATAGTTTTTATTCAGTTCGATGCGACTGTGCCGGGTTATTCTGTTGCCGGGGAGTGCCCTACTAGTCCGTGGGTGCTCCTTCTTCTGTCTGCAAGGCTTGCCATGCGCCATATGTATGGAATACTGCGGTATGCGCAGGATCTCGAGGATGTAACCACTGATCGCGATCAACTGCAGGTCCAAGATTATATTCTGTTGATCACTGCACGATCAAGGTTGGTCATCTCGGTACCCAACGTGGCTATTCATTCTCCCAAGGTTATTCCTTTCCTAGCCTGAGTTGATCTCAAAAGCTGATCTGTTTCTTGACTTAGCAATTTTTCTTGACAGGTTCTTTCTACTTGTCGAGGCGACGAGGCATCTAGTTCATTCCATTCTTCAACTTCTTGGTTTTTATACTCCATACAGATGAGTCCCTGAGATTTGACTGTAATAGTCTTGTTTAGGTAGGGCTTAGCTTGGCGTGTTGATGGCTGGTAGAATTGACTCTTCGAGACGTCGTTTCTAAGTCCGTTCTGTACTGCCATGCTTTCATTCTTTATGTAGTATTTAGCTGCCAGCGCGAAGCCTCCACTGTAGCTCTCTCTACCACTTGTAGATTGCATAAACTGATGTAAAATCGCAAAATCTATGGGTAGCCTGATACCAGGCGTATCATTGGATGTATTGGGGTGGTTTGGTAAGCTGGTCCATATGTTCCAGCTTTCGGTATTCATCCAAGTAGGACTCTCCGACTTGGTTCTCCAAGTTGGTAACCAGTGGCTCATCCACCTCTGCTCGTTGTCGAGGGTGGACCCACTGTTTGAGAAGTGACATCTTCTCTCCTGGGGTCTTGGCAAGTCGCATAGCTCACCGAGTCCAGGTGGCTCCAAAGGGCTTCAGCCATTGGGAGTCCTGAGAGTACTCCACCAATACTGGCAGTATCGGGGTCTTCCTCTCGTCGTCACAGTCCATAGGCCACAAAGGCCCTGCTCCTATGACCGTGCGACCAGTCAGTTCTCTTTCGCCTCGGTGTGGAGATTCACTTGGGTTAGTCAGGACTTCGCTGGATTTTGGAGAGTTCCGTAAACTCTTTAAATACCTAGGGTTGCCTTTGCTGTTAGTACCTTTTTTTGAGGTGGTACATACCTGGGAAGGGGAGCCTCTCTCCCCTGTTCAGCCCGCTTGATCCTTGTGGGCAATTGAGCTTTTTCGGTCAGTGTCCTCTAGGGTAGAGGTGGCCGTTCCCTGGGTATCTTTTCCACTTGGTTCCACATGTGGTGCTGGGTTATTCCCTGAGGCTTTACAACAGTCCGCCATTGGGTCCGCTGGGCTCCACCGGCCCTCAGCTTCGTCCCTAGGCTCACCTGGATTCCCCAAACTCACCATCACTGAAGTGGTCTGTCGTCGGGGAACCTTGATGCATGGAGGGGATGCTAGTTCACCATCGTCTGGATCCACTGCCACTATATGCAACTTTCCCAGGAGTTGGACTTCATAGTCCTCGTTTTGACCTCCCATATGGCGGATGTCACCTGCAGGGAACAATGATGTCGCACCCCCAAGGTTCCACCCTTGGTTGCCTGTCGAACCGGTAGGCTCCTCTGCATCGTACGTGCGCCCCAAAGGGGTATTTGCAGTGGCTTGGACACAGCCAGTACTGCCAGTACTAGGACTTGGCTGGTGGGGTTCATTGCTAGTGAAAGCAGTGGAAATCCCATGTACACTGTTAATGGGCAAACTCGAGGGTCCCCCTCCTGCTTTTAAGCAAGCGTCAAATGGCTGGGACAGGTGCAAGGAGCCCCGTCGATCCTGGGCTTTGTTCCTGGTCATACCTGGACTCTTGATCCATTGATCAAGAACTCGATCCGGATTCTTGATCGAATGATCGAGAGTTGCTTCTGGATCCTCAATCAACTGATCGAGATCCATCTCGCACTGGTACAGGCCTCGAGTTGCTAGTCGGGTCCGACTCTTTCGTGCCCGACCCTCAGGGGTTCATTGCCTGACAGGTGGTGGTAATCCCCTGATACACCGTTTATGTTTTGCGATTCCTTCACAGTGGGAGACGAATGTGATATATTGTTACAAGTATCTACAGATACAACATAAGCATGAATATTCATGTCATCAGGTGCACCATGATAAACCCCAGCCGACGAAGTAGAATCGCAGAGTCCTATGCTGGCGTCTCTTTTATCTCCTCGATCTCTGTCGAGCTAGCGAGGTCTTCTTCCTCTATTTCTGCTAGGACAGCTCAGAGACGGGTTGCAAAAGTCGATGGCTTTTTCTTTGGGAATTTTAGCCACTTTGACTTGTCAGGCAGGCATTTATTGTCCCGCCCCTGGTGTCTGGTGTGTCCGCACCAGAAACATCGCTTTTCTCTTTTGAGATGATCGATGTCCATAGGTTCGCCTTCACCGCCGTAGGTGAATCCAGTGGCATCCCTTTTGCCCTTCGAGCCACTCGAAGAGCCCCCCACTGTTCCGGGCCTGGAACCAGCGGTCCTGCTGGGATACTTCCCGCCTTGGGCAAGATGAACTTGGTAGTTCTCGTCCATTTGTAGGACCCTGCGCCTCCACTCCCAGTAGGTGGTAGGCCTGCATATTGTCTCTGCCCATAATGATCTCCTTGACCCTGGGCCAGATTGCGAGGGCGATGACTTCCTCCATTTCCTGTCATTGTGGAAGCATTCTGCCTCCTATGGCCAGCTGTTCGAACCTCTCAAAGAATTCAATGGCTGTCTTGAACTGCGCTTGTTGCAGTTTTTTCCATTGCATCCGCTTGATTTGGACCTCTGCTACCTCCCTGAAATGTGTTCAGACATTTTCCTGGAAGGTCTCCCAGGAGGGGAGGCGATGTCTCCCACTGTGTGGGTCCTTGTAGTGTCATTGCTGATGGACCCACCAGGTCATCGCTTCCCCACCAAACCGGTGGGCTGCGAAAACTACTCGACTTGGGCCATACCCATATGCCTCGTTAAGCGCGAAGTATTGGGTGAAGACTTTGAAGTAGTATTCGCAGTGATTGAAGAAGCGATCCAAGTCGCTAGCCTTCCCATGGAATTTGTCAGGGACCTCTATCAACGTTGGTTTCACGTTCCCCCAGGGGTTGGGTTGTCCATCAGGAATAGCCCATCCGTTCAGTGGATCAGGTGGTAGAGGGGGGTTGACAGGTCAGGGTAGTGATCGAAGATTTTGATCACTATGGGGTGACAGTGGTTGTGCCGGAGGTCGAGGTGGTATTGGTGGAGGTCCTCCTCCACCACCACCTCCTGGTCCTCCTGGGTCATCCCCACCTCCTCCAGGAGTGGTGGGTGCTGGTCCACCCATTTCTCCTGTTGGCGCTGATTGTGAGGGGTCCCCACCCATACTTTGGGCATGGAACTTTCCTCCTCCTCCTGCAGCAGTTAATCCCAGGATGCTGGATGGGGCCCAAGCCATGTCGGGGATCAGGTTTTCTGGGCCTACTATCCCTATGTCAGGGAAGGATTCTTCACCGTAGTGCCTTCCTGGCACTATAGGTTGATCAGGATGTATCACGTTCCAATCAATGGCGGTGTGATACCAAGTTTTGGTGCAGAGTATCCGATCCTCCAGGGCAGAGCCTAGCTCCACAGCCTTGTATGCCTGTCCCTGGTCAGACGTGGTCCACTTTACATTGTACCATAATCGTCTGCTTGTCCATTCTAACATTTGCTGCCATGTTAGATCATATATTTGCCGATCCATAAGCTCTTGTGCTTGAGCCCTGGACAAACTCAGGTGGGTCGTTGGAGGGGCTTCTACTGGGGGAGTGGCTGGGTTCATTCTCCTCGAGTTGCTGGTCGATGACCAGGCCAGCTTGGGTCCAGGGGTCTGTCCTGTTGTCATGGTCGGGTGGAAAACCGATGACCTGGTATCAGGAGAATATCCCATATCCTGCATCCCAGTCATCGTTCCAATCCCAAATGCCCCTGACATATCTGTAGTACTCATCCCAGATCTCCAGGGCATCTTCACACTTCCAGATCCAGGGCCATAGGTCTCAGAGTGGGAGGAAACCATAGTATCCATTGGGTAA